AGATCAGGACCAACTARGGCAGAATAAACACACAACCCCGTGGTGAAGCCATTTTCAAGGCTTTTGTATGTATAAAGSAAAATTTACTAGCATGACAACACTGTCTTTACTAAAATCAAGTATATTTGTCAAGATCTAGGTGTAAAAACCTTCCGCAAAGAAGGTGAAACCTAAATTAATCGGCTAAGACAATTCACTTGCATTTAACAAGTGTGTCAGTTCTTAACCTAAAAACCCTTTGAGTGGTGACGCATTTAAATCTGTTCAGTGAGCACTACAGCCAGTTATCTACAGTGTGGAGGCTGAATCAAACACACCAGTCTTTGCCAGGAGGGAAGGATTTATCTCAAGATATTCTCCCATCAGATACAAAGAAATTAAAAAACTAGACTTTACTCAAGTATTTACTAAATTTACTAAATACTTCTGGGAGAATTACATAGTTGAATGAAAAAAGCAGAACAGGTGCCCCCAGAAAAGACTCCCAAACAGRCACAAAACTGAAAACTCACCAGAAGGCCTATTCTCAGAGAGAAAAATGCATTCCTAATAGGAATAAATTTAACCAAAAGTAAAATTGGAGTAGACCCATGAAAAGCAGAATACGGCATCACAGTCRTGCTGCTAAGATCTTGCAAAGTTAGAATAAGGTAAATACCTTACAGAAATATTGTATTTTGAGGTCTCCCTGACAACTATGAGAACATTATTCTAAAAAGACYTGACCTTTCTGCTAGGAAACTATTTATGCAAAGCAATCCTTGGGAAACACTGTGTTATTCAAAAGAACTTAAATCCATTTGTTTAACAGCAGCATTCATACAGTGAACTCCAGACCAAGCAGCAAAACCGCTCTCTTTGGGGGCCCCCGGGTCCCAGAGGGATCACTTACAGGTTTCAGCAGATAGCTGGTCTTACACGAGCAACTGATAGAGATATCTATAGATCCATTGCTGATTTAATCAAGTGAGAGCTATTGTTGAAAACAGAACAGAATTTGTCTCTGCTGATAATTAGCACACAGGAAATTAAAGCCCTGCTCTAGCCCAGAATTTATCTCTGCAGCTGCATCGGTTATTTGTTTTTCCTCTATCAGATAACCGGACTGCCCCAAAGAGAACCAATTCCACTGCTTCTGCAATGAAAGGCTGCAAAGCCACAAGCTCTGTAAAGACTTCCTGAACTGAACTGCAAAGACATCTTCAAAATCTGATTAGCATCAATCTCCTGCCATGGGAGCACAAAACAAAAGGTTTAGGTATTTTTCCTGTATGCTCCCAAGATAGAAGAGTTCCTAAGTTAATGGATAAGTATAATTAATTTGCATACATATGAGACTGCTTCTATGAAAGATCAGAATTGTTAACACACACCACTGATGACTGAGTTTGTTTAGGTCTCTGCATTATGTTTGTTCATGTTGATATTCAGAGATGAAATACTGTAGCAAATAATATCYTCCCTTAGCCCAGGTATGTGCTATATGCCCTATAACAATATCGGTATAATGAAATCAGAGATTTCCTCAGATTTCACTATGCTGAACCTTGATTTAAAAGATTGCTTAGGAAAGAAGTGAATGTCCTTTCTTCTGRGAGGCAATATTATCAAGGATGTTGAAGACAGACCTAGAATACGGTGGAATAGAGAAGCAACTTCAGCAACTGAAGTTTAAAATAAATAAATAAATCAGCCGAAAATATAAGAACTATCTGAACACAGCAAAAGGTGAATACTTTCCTTGGAAAGCATTAACTTGCAATTTAGATATCTTAGCCAGGAGTTTACTCATGTAATTCTTGAAGCTCAGAAATGCTACAACACTGTAAATGAAAGTAGACAGTTGATTGTGTCATGGCCCTTGCTATCCTTGAACTGTAAATCAAATACATAAGTTTTTGAAAAATATCGTACGCAAGTGAAAATTGTCCCCAAAGATAATATGGATCACCAAATCATTCCATGTTGTCTTTCAGTTTCAAAGAACCTGGATTCAAGCTTCCAAAACACCGAGGTTATTAGCATTTTGGCAGGTAGCACTTAGAGAGTAGTTCTTCCTATTAATCTCTTCTTTAGTTCTTTCTGCTGTCTACATTGAAACATTTTCTCCTTTTATTTCAAATAATATTTCAACCTGCTTGTATTCTTTTTATAGTGACTGAATAGTCTCATCCTAACTTCCTAAAATACTAGAATACCATTTAAGTAACCAATGACTGTAGTATTTGACCCAAAGCACCACAGTGTTTCTTCTATAACTAGAGCTGCCCCAATTCTCTCATCTTTTCCTTTCCATACCTGGAGAAAGGAGAAAAAAAAAAGTGGGGGTGGGGGGGAAGGAAGGCAGAAAGGAGGTCTGCTTGGATTTGGCTGCCTGGGAAGAACCTATATATTTACTGTGGTTTTTTTAAGGGGGAAGAAAAACGATCTATTCTGGTGCAAATAGAGAGTCCATGACCACTAGAATGAAGAGCCACCCTTACCTTTTCCGAGAGAACAAACTATGCTTGCATTGCTGAGCATCAAGCAGCTTTCTGGCTTCATAAATAATGAGCCAGACTTGAAAAAAGAATAAAAAGAAAATATGCCAGTACTAATTATGKTTTCCCATGAGCTCTTGCTGCTCTCCAAAAGAAAGTATTCACACACTTCTTTCTCAGCTTTATTAGGATATATATACAAGTACCAGCATTCCAAAGAATTAACTACTGAGGTAATATAAATCTTTATATGCCCTTCCAACTTCATTACATACTCATCTGTAGAACCATCTGTAGTATTTTTGGTAAAGAACATCTATCTTAGAAACTAGTGTGGCAGATGTGGGGTAAGATTTTGTTTCAGGTGTTTCCAGACAACTAACTTCCTTTCACCTAGAAAGAACTCTTCCACTGAAGTAGACCAGAACCCTATGATGGGTATTTTCATATTTCCATGTCTTGGGGAAGAGATTATCCACTGCATTTCAACTGATTGCATCTAAATTACCCTCAAAARTTATCTAAACTTAAATAACTTCCCAAATACAGACTTTCTAGAGATACAACCACACAGATTTGCATGTTCAAAAGCAATCTATAAAACACACATCCATCTGTGAAAGCTACATATCTTTAAGAATAAGTTCTTTTATATCCAACAAGGGAGGTAAGACAGGTGAGAGGGAGATACTCATATCAGACTAGAAGAGGCCTGGAAAACAGCTAAGGCTGCTTAAGTTCCTGGTCTTTCAGCTGAGCCCCAGGAAGAAAAGTTTTCTCAAGCACCATCTAGAAAACTGTGCACATTCAGCAACCTGCCCACTAACCCTCCAGCAATCGAGTCAAATTATGTCCTGAAGTTTTGATACGAAACTTCAACTGAGAAAATGCAACCCCAGTGCGGTTCAGTATTTCCACTGTGACATCTCTGCTCCATCTGAATTGCTTGCCAACTTTGACATTGGAGGGTGTGAGAGATTAGTCATGCCAAGTATCTACCCAAATACTTTCGGAGCTTTGACACACACTCATCCTGTGTTTTTTAAAGACTATCTTTGCCAAGTCCATGTTGCTTCTGTTTCCTGCTTTATAATTTCAAAAGTATTAATCACAAGGTCGTATTGTCTACAGCATAACGGAGCTTGCTCAAGAAAGGGAAATCAAGTTATAATGGAGACAACAGATACAGATGTTTTGYTATTTTACAGCCAGTTAATAGCCCTCAAAATCTGAAAATAAAGAGCACTGTAAATGGATTTTTGCCTGGAAACAGGCACTGTAGATGCAGAATCTTAGAACAAATATTAAAATTCTGAATATGTACAGATGACTTATAGACCAGAGTGATCAGGCCTATGTGCATCACTAGTATCTATACATTTGGTTATCAGCTTAGATGGTGTAATTCCCTTGGGAAAAACASAAATAAAATTTCAAATTTTGAAATCCAACACTTAACTAGAAAAGAGTTTCTCCTAAGAGTCAAAACCAGAAAACAAATATTCAAGGGAGGAYATAAATTCTTCTATTAGTATAGCATATTTTTGCACAAGAATATGCAAGACAAAATAGGGACTAATTCAGTGAAAAAAACTTTTATTTGAGATGTCAGAAAGAGTGCTGCAAGAAATAACACAGTGCTACTACTATGTACTTTAAAAAAAAAGGTTACTTTTTTCCACTTTTAAAGATTACATAGGCCAAAATTTTGTTTTGTTTGTTTCTTTTTAGGAGCTTCAACAGCTGAGGAAGTTAGAGCTATAAATTTGTCACAAGTTTTAATAATACTATCAACCCTGGAAATAAATACTAACTTGTAAGATACTGATTAGAAAAAAATACTTTTGATAAGTATTAATAAATGTACTAGTATTATTTTTAATCCAAGTGCTTTTTTTATGAAGAAAAAAAAGTTTGCAGAAAGAAAGAAGTTGAAAATGTAAGGAAAACTATTACTATCTCCTACCAGATAAACACAAATSGTTTCCTGTAAAATTTGGTCTAGGTTTATAAACTATAAAAATGTTTTGGTGATAATGTTGCATGTCCYACAGATTGCACTGAATATCTGTTAGACTAAATATTAACAATTACTGTAACAGTATGGATATCTATTTTCAAAATAGGACATAAAAAAACCTAGAGCTACACATGAAAACCTGGGAAAGTACTATCTGAGAGATCAGGCTACAGTCGCCAACTTGGTAACTATTTTTAGTATTTCTTGTACTACAGCTATTTCACACAGAACACATCACAATCATGGCATCTAAAGCAACCATTTTCCCTGATCCAATTATCAAATCTAGAACCAAAAACTTCACTAAAAATTCAGAAATATCACTAAGCCATAAAACAGATCTGCCTTCAAAGGAAAGTTTATTTAAAATGTTTGGCAACTTCTCTTTTTTTTTTTTTTTATTTAATATTAAAGCCATGTGAAACTTGCATTATAGAACTCTGGATTTATATGGTGTTTTTCARCCTGAGGTCACAAAACAAAAACTGCATCTAACATACCTTGGCAAAAAAGACTGTGAGATGYGTTTCACTGCCAAGGATCCAAATAGGGAACTTTGGAGATTTCAAGTAGGAGCCAACCTAAAAAAAAGGTGCAGTAAAATCAGAAACACAAATCAAACCCAAAGTCTCTGTTAGCAAATAAGTTAATGACAGCCCAGCTAATGAAGGCTAAATTGCTTTCAAAAACTAATTAAAATATTAATAAAAATTATGAAGTTAYGTAAAATAATTAGATTCCAATTTTGATCTCTAACTTTTGATTGACTTGGAAAACAAGCACTGAAATAAGACTCATCACTGAAACAGGACTTTAATGAAAATGTGGTAACAACAGTATTTATTYGTTATTACAAGCTTGGGAGACAATGTTGAGAACAATACATGAGTAGCTACTCTTGTGCTTAATAACGATACTGTCAGATCATGAATGAGGTAGAAGTTTGGATTTATGAGCTGGCTGTGGATGTATAGTTCAGAACTGACATTTACCTAATAACCGAAGGAGTAGCTACAGTCAGTAAACCAACACTCTGAACAAAATAATCCTCTTAACCACAATCTAAGCTAAAAGAACTCAACATAGYTTGAAAGAGAAGCAAAGAAAAACAAAAGTAATGGCATTTATCTTCAGTTTTGAAACTGTTATTTGTAAGGCACAAAAATTCTTAAATAGATTCTCTGTTCTGTATCACAACCAGAAGAAGTTACATAGATTAGGTTGCACTTCCACAAATTTCAGATATACAAAGACAGATTCATAAAGTACCTTCCAACTCTTGGACACATTATGCTCGGATCACATTTAGTTACTTGCAATTCTACCTTGTCTACACAGGAGTATTTTAAATAGAAGATAGTCATAGCATAAAAAATGAAAATGGTACTGCAACATTCGTAATAGCAAACCACTTTGGGACTTGATATCATTAATATGGAATAGTTATATAGTCCTTTACTTAACTTGCATTAATTTTTATTTTAGTAAAAAGAAGCTTCTAATTAGTTGTMCAAAAATTGGCATAGCTAAATTTTAATTTAAATGGCAAACACTTATTCAAAAGCTGCATTTAACAATTTTCTGTATTTAAAAAATATAATATTCCATTTTTTTATTTTTAARTTGAAAGTACTTTAGCATTGTTCAAGGCAAAACTTTTAGTAATACTGACACCGAGGAAACTACAATGATGTCACTGCAGTAACAAAGAAAATAAAATTTAAATTACACACAAAGCTTACCTTACAGTATCGGAGAGATTCCATCAATGTCAAAAAGCCGACCGTTGCCTGTTTATGTATACCAAGTAGTTCTGTTAAAAAAAACAAAGAAACCCCCAAAATCAAGATTTATTTTAGAAAAATCTGCAAAGTCTCACTTAAACCATTTTCACTTGTTTTAAAAATTAGTCAAGGAATAAAAATTTTAGTAAATCATCCAGTTTTACCAACAATGAACAGTTAATCATTAAGTTTATTCAAAAAAAMCTACAAAGCTTTAATGCTTTTGTTCCTAATAACCCAAAAGGATGGTTTTATCCAAAAGGATGGTTTTATCAGAAGCTTACTGTTGATAGCTTGTTTTCAAAAGTTGCTGCATTTATTGATGGAGGTACTCGTACCCAGCACCAAAACTGTTCTTAGGAATAGAACAATTATCCTGAATTTTGTTTGAGCGCTGGGGGAAAGAGCTCCATGACTAGTTTTATCTTCACCATGTCACAGAATGACTATAAAATGACATATTCTTGATATATTCTCAGAGGGCCAAGGGCGCTCCCTGAAGCAATTGTCAGCTACTTAAACCCACCCGATACTGCCAGTACCCACAGAAACCTGCAACATAACCTGACCAGCTTAACAAGCTCTGTATATTTCCATTTTCAGAGAATGCTGTGTTTCCCCCCCCTTCCCCCCCCAAATTTGAATTTTCCTTCTGAAACACTAATTTTGAACTGCATTTGTGAACACTGATGATTTATGTTCATCAGCAAAAATCTACAAAGTCTTTATCCATGGGCTAAGGCCTCAGGACTACAGCAAGTGAAAAAATATGTCTGAAATATAAAAGGTTTTTCCTTCTAGGGGACTCATCTCTGCATTTACTATGCCTGGCATGCTGTGGCATGGTTGAGTTAAACTCCCTGATTTTTGCAACAGTGGATACAAATTTTGAAAGTTACAGTTTAATTTTCTCCTTTACTGTTATGATGAAAACAAATAAAAATATATACACTCAAAGAGCTGAATGATTTTGCCATATTTATGTCTAACTTGCACACACCGACTCATTCATTGCCTTTGTGGCATTTAAGTACGATTATTTTGTTGGACTTTGGGCCTGTCAGTTTATATATTGAAAAGATCCTTCTGCTTCTCTTCTGGAAATTTTAAGAGTTCTTGGTTTGGGCTTCTGCTTTCCAGGATTATCCTCGACCTTTCTTGGAATTGAGACATTTGGGGAGAGCATTGAGATCATGCTCTGCAGGACATTAAGAGCTGTGCTGCTGGAAATGCTGATATGCTCAACTGAAGCACTGAGGCAAAAACAGCTACTGCAATTCAAAACTCATAATGGATCCCTCAAACTAGGAACAGTTACTGCTCAGAAATAAGATTTATATGTACTGTGAAGGGAAATGAACAGCAGAAGCACACAACACTATATTAAGATATCATAATTTCAGCTGACTTGTCGAAGTTTTGGGGAGGAAAATAAAGATAAAAAATGTAAAAAGCAGTCTGTTAGACAGTAAAGAAGTCAGATATATGCAAGATTTATTATTCAGAGGAAAAAATAAAGATAAAAAAAAAAAAAAAAAAAAAAAATTAAGCACTTGGCCTCCCCTGACAGATGAGATCCTGGCTATGACAGCGACCCTGGAGAGTAAATGCCCTAAACAGTCAGCAGGCTGCTGCCTGGATCATTCACCTAAGGCCTATTAGGCTTAGGTTTCACAGGTGGACACTGGTCTACCAACGTCTCCTTCAGAATCAGGGAAGTAGAGAGTGAGAAAAGCAAAACGCACTCATGGGTTGCTTCAGAGGAAGGACAGGGCGCCTGTTTTCCTTAAATCAAAGCTGAGCTTTGTACCTATCCCCTCGCTGTCCAAGGCAAAAATCCTACTGGAAGAGACTTAGCACCACCCAAGATCATTTAAAAAATAAAAATAAAAATAAAAATAAAAAT